GTGAGGCTTGTTCGACAAGCCCTGATATCCTCGAGCTACCTGGAAGATGAACCCTGAATATTGAGCACGTTAGCTAACTTTTTAAACGCGAATCTCGAATCGTACACTTCCATAGGAAATTCTATTAATAGCAAATTGGAGTAGAGAAATAATTGGCTCGAGTAATTAGAGTTCTCTCTCGGTCCTTCTGCGTGGTAGTTACGCTTCATAGTGTTCCTTGAGACATCCATTGTCTCGATTTCGGGCGCACCCTAATATTTTATCGCGGCCGTTGCGCAGAGGTCCATTATTTATGAGCAGTTCACTTAATACTTCCAGGGGAAACTACGTCCCCCTGCGAAAGAATCATTAATCACTTCTCTTTGGGAAACGCGCACTTGTTCCCGGGGAAGGGCGTTTCCTCCTCGTGGGACCTCGAAGATGAACCGTGTCTTAATGTATTCATTGAACTTTTGACTGCCAGAAAACGCCTCGGTGCCTTGAAGAATTAGAATTACAAAGGAACCCTCGAGTCCACTCCACCACCTTCAGGTGGAATTAATTACAATCGCAGGGAATATCCAGATACTCGAATCTTCTCGGAAACCTGAAATTCGAAAGTTTGAGTGTCACCCATTCAGGAAAATGAACTTCTAAGTTTCTAATCTTTCTATCCGTTGTCTTGCCATTCTCTATCGCAGAATATATTTTTTTTTTAAATTCGACTGTTCTAGTGACGACTCCCTTTCAGAGTTTCCATCAACAATCGTCTCGCAGTCGGAGGGTTAATAGCCAAAGAAGCATGGTTTATTTATGCATCGTGCACCTAAATGTATTACGTTCGAACGTCTCGTGTTCTGAAGTATTATAATTCGAGTTCCATGTAGAAACATATGAAAACGAAAGGAGCTTCTCCTATTTTTATATGTTTTCAAATAGAGCAAAAGTTATAAGAGACCCAAAACCCCTCGGTATCGATAAATTTCATGAATAATTATAAGCTGTTTTTATTTCGAAGATAAAACGAACCCCGCGATAAAGTATTTAAACTGATGGAGAGCACACTTCCACTGCTCGTGAATAATGTAATTCGGCCCGTACGAAATGTTAACGCGATGATGAATACATTCGGTCGTTTACGAAACGCAGAATTATTAACGATGGAAAGAAAATTTGAATGCCGGGGCGTGGAAAGCATGCATCATCAATGCCTCGGCGCATCGGAGCCGTGATACGAGCCCGTCGCGGAGTATTAAATTATTATTAAATCCCCCATGCTGAGCATACGTGTCGGCAACTGTGATCGATGGCGATACATTTTTCCATGAAATTTTCATTATCTTCCAAATAACGTCCGGCTATCGTCGTTGAAAAGAAAAGCGAATTAAAACGAAGTCCAATTTTGCGTATTATAGGAAAAACTGGGGAACAGTGGTAACTTTTATGATCCTCGTTTATGCACGTTTACCACCACCGAGGAATTAAACGAATCAATCCTGAATGTAAGGTGTGCATAAAACTAAATCTGGATGGGACGGGGGTAAATTCTGTAAAAGGTCGTAATAATAAGTACTGCCACGAATGTTGAGTTACGTCATTTCTAATTTAATAGAAAAAGAATTTAGCCTCGTAGAAGTTTTCACGATTATTAGTCTGACAGTCAATGTCTCAAGAGTTACTTTTTCAACGATTTTAATAATTCCGTGTTTTCAAAACTATCACCGTTAATGTATCTTTCGTCAGCGTCCAAAGTATTTTCCGCCCTTCGATTAGCGAACAACTTTTGCTGTACTTGGGGTGGCAAGATTTCGTCGAGGGAGCGGCTGAAATTCGAAAGGCTTTCTGCCAGAGGGGAGGGATCCGAGAGTAATGTAATTTCTGGATTACAGGCGCGGGACGCGAAGTTTCATAAAACGGGACGAAAGTAAGAGCAGGATTTAATTTCGGTGCGCTTAAGTGCTCTTCGCGGGACGGGGACACAGCGAGCGCTGCTTCGATCGGTCGAATGGTAATGCCATGGAAATCTCGAGACACCCGGGACGCGCGATGCATCGCTATGAAAATAGAATTACAGCCTGTCCTAGAAGCCCTCGCGATGCTGTTCGAAAATATTTTACTTTGTATTACAATATGAAAATACGAAGACGAGGTATACGCGGATCTTGTCGTTTAAAATTCGAGTTCCACTCGGTATATAATTGTCTATAACAATAGCGAAATACGATTCGAAGGTGTAAGAATATTTATAGTTTTCAAAAGTGATAAGTGAAGTTGATATTGAATAGAATTATATAGTTGGATATAGTTTCTCGACTGACAGTACGTATGGCAAAGGATACAAATGTATCTCTTTAGATAAATAGTTTCGAATTTCGTTTCTTCTAAAATTCCATTTGTCTGAAATTATACTCTCTCGTGAGACATCTTTTCGTGACGTTCATATTTATATAAGCGAAAAAAGAACACAATATTTAATCGTCGTAATAGACAATTCTACGAGTAATAAACGAGAACATACAACATATAGATACACATCAAAGTACTCTAACTAAACTACATTCCCAAATCGATATTAAATCAGTAACGCAGCTCTCCTATGTTTACGCAAACAACCAATCATTCCAAACCCTATTTGGCTACACAACGCGGTACACGTGCTTTCGATCTGCATTTTGAAAAGTTGAAATCCGATTCGCGAGGAAATTACGCACACGCGGCCGCTGAATAAGAGTACGGATCACTCGTCGTTGATTAATTGGCACTCGCGCGAGGACTCGGTAAAGCAAAGGTCGAGTGCTTTGCAAATTTTGCTCTACGTGAAAATATCATACTCTGGAATTTTCTCAGCCGTGGACGATTGAACTTTCGAAGCGGATCAGCTTTTCGAATCGAACGGGAGGTTTGGATACGAGTGGCGCGTTGTCGGTGAACTTTCGCGGTTTCCTCAGTTGGAAACGGGGTTGCATTCGCGTCCGGAATTATGACGTGCTCCAACGCGTGTATTATTATTATTAAAATGATTTAGTGACGAGAACGAGGTGAAAATTTTCCCATTTGCAGGTGCAATTTGCAGTTACATTATCCACGTCGTTTAACCATGTTTCAGACCGTTAACGTGAAATCGTAATTGATACCGAGGAGATTAAAACGAAGCGCTCTAACGAAGAACACCTGAACTATAGTTAAATAATCACGCTTGCATTGATTGGAAGCACTCGAGCTAAGACTCGAAGTCGCGTATCATCGAAGATGAATTCTGTACGATTTGTTGTACATGCCACGAGTAGAACCCTGCGCTTAGAATTTAAAATATAGAAATTCGACATAGCTTTCATAGCGATTCGACAGATAAGTTTCATGGATAGAGAGACACGTTTTTAGAAGATACATTTCCTCGACTCCAAGAGTACATTCTGCACTCTAGACGCATGCACGTAGATCTCGCGTTTCCTCGACAACGGATGTCGAACCTCGCGGATACATCGCAACGCGTACAGCGGCGCTCACCTCGACATGCAAAACTGACACGCTGCATTTCCTTATGCGCGCATTTTTTCGCAATTCTTACTCCCCCCCCGTGATCCGTTTCGTTGGGTAAACCTTGCACCGTAGCTTTCTCGTCGTCCATTGTGCACGGCGGGATCCCTCCAGCTGGAAATCATTTCAAAAATTGCATTCGACTGTTAACCGAAGATACATCGCGCCTCTGCAAGAAAAGTGGCGTACCAAAGGAGATACTACAATATTCAGTTACCTCTTTCGAGCATCTAGATTTCAGCTGAGATTTATTCATCCGAGTTTCGCATTACCCTCGATGATCGCTCGAGCTTTCAATTAAATATTTTTACCGATCAGGTGATTTTTTATATTCGATATTAAATACCGTAAATGTCCGGTTTGGCATTAAAATTTTTGTACAATATTTTCCGCACAACGGCTGCATAATCTAGCGTGCAATTTTTTTATACGTGTCGCTCTACTTGCCGAGGTCGCGATGCGCATTTGATTTGCCCTTTATACATACCTGCACCAACATTGCTATATTTACGTAAAAACGCCATCGTTGCGTCACATGGCGAAAATCGATTTCGAGGAGCAAACAGTACGATCATATTCGCGCCATATCCCTGTACATAAAGCATACACCTCCTGAAGCTTTGACCGACAGAAAGCAGTAGCTTCGTGAAGCACATTTAGCGAAGTGCTCGAAATATTTTACTACTTGCGTCGCTGCGCATCGTCGAAACGTCGCGCTTCAAACGTCGTCGATTTACCGCGGGACATCGAACGAATGAATAAACGAACACGTGCGCGCGCGACGTATCGCCGATGCGCCGCGAGAATATGCTCGAAAAGGTCCTTGCGACTGTCATCAAAAATTTACTGGACAGGTTTGTCGCGATTCGTCGAGGATCGAAACGTTCCGATAGTTTCGTGCGAGGAGAGAGATCGTGGAAGTAGTCGGACATTCTGTACCTCTTAAAGATACAAGTATTGAAAACAATCTTTGAACTCTGAAATTTTTAGAGATCCTCGTACAAAAAGAGATCGAAAAGTCCTTTCGCATTTTGCGATCCGTGGATCCGTCACTGAGATATAAGCGATGTTTCTTGCGGGTGAGTTGCAGCGCGATCAGCTGCTCGGGGATTAAGACGGCGCGTGCCAAACAACTCACGAGTCATTTTCGAATCTTCGTACCTCGATAACAGAGCTTCCGATTGCAAAATGGTAAAGGTCATTTCGATTTCTTTCAACGAGAATAACTGATCCTGAGGAAAGACTTCCATTACGAATAAGTATTACGAAAGATATACGGCTAATTAAATTAGATTTTTGATTAGACTATGCATGGTGGATAGAGAACGTGAGATCTTCGAGTTTGATGGAATCCGCGTGGTTGCAAGGACCTTCTCATGTCGGAAGGGAACGCGTTAGTGCCGTCTCTCCGCTAGACCACCCTCTTCTGGTCTGTCTTGGAGCTTGCTTGAGCCTTGCATGGCGGGTCATGGTTCTTGTTTCAGGCCGCGGCAGCAGCAGCTGCAGCGTCACCGTTGCTGAAGACGCCCCTCTCGACGGCGCAGCAGGCCACCTACGCAGCTGCAGCGACCTACACGGCAGTGGCTGCGCGCGCATACGGCGCAGCTGCAGCTGCGGCACAACCGGTCGCAGGATATGCCGCAGTCGCGGGGTAAGCGCACTCCCATCGCTGGACTTCCTCCGTTCCAAACCCCCAGGCTCCACCGCTCGCTGGTCGAGAGATGATGTCTTTTCGTCGTTTCAACCCCTTCACGGTCCTCGGCCACTCCTTCACCCTCCAGGTCTCATCCAGAGATCAATTTTCTAATACACATCTAAGCAAAGTTCTGTCCATCGAAAGATTTATTTTCTTTTTATTTTCTTCTGCTTGAAGTAATCAAAGTGAGATCAGGAGGAACAGATGCAACGTTCTCCTAAATTGTTTCTTCTGTACTAAAATAATCACTTCTCTTCGGTCGATTAGCCTATGCAAATTTAAATCAGAATTAAATGGAGAGATACTGAAGATGAGTAGAAAGCTACCACAGTCGAAGGGTGAAAGTCGTGAAGGGTGGAGCAACGAATTTAATAAACCTGTCTAATAAGCAACTAGATGTTCGAGCACAGTTAGTGCGAGAAGAACGTATTTGCATAAGAAGTGCATTCCTTGCAGAAGAACGTGCCGACGCGGTCGAGCTCTTAGAAGTCGCAGAAACGTGGAGAGCCAGACCCGACCTGACAGTCCCGTCGAAAACCCTGATAGTCCCGTTGATAGTCCTTAGAGACACCTCCTGCGTTTGTATCTCCTTTTCTTGTATCTTGTTCTCTCTTTATCCTTCGTATTATCGTATCCGTCATTTTATTCCCGAGTAAAAGAAATCTTGGTAAGATATCAAAGATGTTGCCGCTCGTTTAACATTTCACTGCGTTGTTGTTCCAGTTACGGACGTGAATACGCCGACCCCTACATTGGACACGGCATTGGACCAGTAGCTGGCTATGGGGTAAATGAAATTATTATTCGATGATAATAAGTTCCTTCTATCGCTTTAAAAAGCGGTCTTTGTCACTTCGTGTTACCCTTTGCCTATAATTCTAACATCGTTGCCTCGCGAATCAATCGGTGGCAGTCGATTATCGACACGAATGCTTCGAGCAGTCGACGCGTTGGTCGCTACCGATTACATAGATTGTCTACCCTTCCATTGGATTTCGGACAGCTTTGTGGGTTCGATGAACCCTGGTCGACGCGTGGAGTGAATGCCTATAGGCGCACGGTAAACACGACCAACATCTACAGGCCTGTGTGCTTCGGCCACATGTATTCGGTGTCCAGAATCTAAACTTAGGAGGGGTTGACAGTCGCCCTAGTCCGGATGACACAGACTGCGTCGAAATTGGCGAACGTTTCTGTGATAAATTAAACGCTCCCGACTGATAGGACAGGCTCGAATTGATCTAAATGGAGAACTTTGGAGTCTGCTTTTATAATACAACTAAAGGAAAATTAAATGAACCGTTGACATATATATATTTATTTATTTCTATAAGTGGGAATAATTTATTAGAGGATGCAAGCTCGCAGGGGTGTATACACGGTGTCCCAAAAATGTTGGAGGTTCTTGAAAGGGGTATTTCAAGGGGTGATTTGAAACAACTTTTTCCTTGGCGAAAATGTTATTCGAGACTTCGTTAAGGAGATATTAACAGAAAGCCTCGCCTAGAAGCCTCGGACAACATTTTCGCCAAGGAAAAAGTTGTTTCAAATCATCCCTCGAACCACCCCTTTCAAGGACCCCCCAATATTTTTGGGACACTCTGTATACTATACACTCGTAGTTCTTCCTTAAAAGCTGAGTTAACCCCTCAGTCTACCATTTACTTTGGTACCACAAGTACACGTCCTGGCTTAGAATTATAATACCAAGAAAAATAGAAAATTTTCTGATATGTTCAATAGATACTGTCAGACATATCCTAAGGGTTGGAAATTTTAGTCTGTAGATATCGTAGGCGATTACATCGAATATTCGGTATCCATTAGCTGTGTCCTATCAGTTCAGAGTCGCCTCCGTCTTGTTCCAACGAGAGAAATAACTCAATTAAATTGTAAATGATTCTGTTCGCAGGCGACAGTGTACAGAGGCGGCTACAACAGGTTCACGCCGTACTAAGGGTTGAAAGACACCGAAGAAGCGCGAGCCTTCCAAGTACACCGTTATACTCAGCAGAACATGACCAGCAGTCGACACAATCATCATCGTCATCCGCCATCGATCACGATCACCCCACGAAGCGATGCCTGGATCCTCCGCGCATGCTGACGTCCAGCCTCTTAGCACCGAGTTTAGCTCCCGTCGACGCGCAACGGTCGTTCCAGATCCCGACTAACGGATCGACGGCGAAGAAAGCCTCGGGTTCCAGCAAACGAACCGGAAACTCGTCGCCATTGGACGGCCGATCGACCGCAACGATCTAGGAAGAAAGAACGAGACGAGGGAGTCGGACGAGCGGTCGCAACGACGTTCGGAGAATCAGGGATCGATGGATCCGGATGGAGGACCTGGAGGACGCTTCGAATTCGTATCAGGTTCCAAACGCGCTTCGGACATAGCCGATTAAGAACGGTGCTTCTCAACCGGATGAACAGAATCCCTCTCTGAACGAATACTTTGTACGCGACGAGCAACTTCTTATTCGTTGATGGTCGAATGGAAATTATATTTATTATCGCGTTCTAGATATCGTACCGATTTATGAAATGAAATTGAATTTGGTGTATTTCATTCTGTAAATTGTATCGATTCGTAGAAAAACTGTTTCTCGGGGGACGAATGGAAACATTCGATTGGTTCCATTCGTCGCTTGTCCCCGCTAGCATCCATACCCAAAGAGATTAAAAGAATAATATCACTCGTGTTGCTCGAACGAGAACGTCATATTGAATTAAAACTGCCTTCAACGACTTCCTCTAAGAAACGTCACAAAGACCCCTTAGGTTGCAAAAATATGAGCCAGCGAACAATTACGTTTCGAAGAAACCTAAAACTGAAAACATCGACCAAACGAATGAAAGATCGAAGTTGTTCGTTACTATGTGAAGAAAAATTCAAACTCGTGTTAGAATTTTGCTCGTCCCTGTGGCGATCCACGGGTCGGGAAGCACTGGATCAGAGATAGGAAACGGTCGACAGGGCGACGAAGGTCCATCGAAGCGTTGTCGAACTTTCCGACGGTCTCCAATCGATAATCGCGAGAGACAGAGACGCGGGGGTAAATTGGTAAACCGAATTAGCGAACAAAGAAGAGACACCCTCGAATCGGGTTCGCTAAACGTGCTAGAAGTTTCGGTACACTTCGGTAGTAGCAGAAAAAACGAACGTGCGGAGGTAGGTAAACTCGAGGATCGAATTGGAACGAATCGCAGGTTGAGTTTGGTCCGTTCGAAGCGTGTTCGAGGTTTTCGCTCGAAATTCCTAGGGTACGTGGCATCGCGTCGTCAGATCAGTCCGTTCGTCCCCCCTCGAGTTCGGACCCGGCAGCCATTCTCTTCTGAAGCGACGAGGTGAGCTTCGACGTTTGGTAGAAAGCCCTCGAAATTACAGGAAAATCGATCAGAGACAGATCCTGTAATCCGTGTGTTATACGAAAATCAAATTGCCAAATTTACGAATTAAAGGGTTGGAACAGTCGGTTTCCTTTTTTTTATATCTCCAGAGCTTGCGTTGGAGTTGCAGATCTTTCACCCCTTTCTACCAATCGTCGAACGATTAGTCTTGTTAATCCTACACGGTGGACTTGCATATTACACGCGAGTATATACGGTATCTATAATATAGATATACATGATTGATCTCTCTAGAAATCGATTGCAATTACGCAATACGTTTCACTTGGGGCACGTTTACCGATAGTTGTGAGAAATTTTTAAAAACGCCCCGGCCAACTTTTATCGCGTATCGGTATATATTTTGTTGCGTCAGCGTTAATGTATCATACGTTGTGGCTGGAGAGGGGGGAAAAAATGGGACATGAAATTTTGTACATAATTAATTGCTGTCGCGAGCGCCGAAGCCAGGGGGGTGGGATGTCCAGCTAGTTCGTGAAATCAGCTTTAATGGCTATTTTTCTTTCGCTGTAATCATTGCATTTCTCGAGTAACACTTCGTTTTCATTCTTCGTGTATCTTCCTTTCGCGAGTCTTTTGCCTGAACCACCTGCTGTCCCCATTGTCGACACGTTCTTTGGCAATCGTCACTTTCGATCAGTGGTCTCGTTAATGGCTGCCGGAAAAGAACTCCTCCTTCGTTCTCGACGTGGCGTTAAATAAAAACATGGAAGGAGATATTAATTAAATCGCGAGACCCTTCGGTAGAGCTAAATCTAAGAAGCAAAGCGACGAGGCAGTTACGCGTGACCGGTAGGGTTTCTATGCCAAATATGTGTGAGTGAGTGAGTGTGTGTGTGTGTGTGTGTTTGGTTGCATCGCCGTGTGTGTGCGTAGATTCGTCAATCAAATCCGTTGCAACACAAATTTAAACAAACAATACCAAAATGAGACTACGCAACCGACGCAGCTTCCTTTAATACTCGTCATTTCCACGATTCTTCAACGAAAGATCGATCGTTCGGGAACTTAGGGATCCATGGAGATCTCGAAGAACCTCCGTTAGCGTAGACGCGAGTAGACGGATGTAAGATACATCGAAGACTGTCGATAGATATTTTTTGCTCTCTTGTTTTCTGTTTTCTTCGGATTGAGGAACCACTTTACACCGGATCTCGATGCATTATTTGTTCGTTAAACGAACCAGTCCTCTGCACGCGACCTATTTCGACGTGGAGTCCTGATAATAGGAGCAATTTCATTTCAACGGTATACGAATCTTGAAAGATGCTTTATTCGTCTCCTCGGACAGTAAAAAAGAACTGTACAATTCTTTCAATGATATAGAATCTTGATAAAAGGGAAGACATCCTGTCAACGTCGCTTAGGTCTTGAAAGATTCTTTGTTCCCTTACTCGGGTACCAAGGAAGAGTATCTGTACAATTCCGCCGTTGACATAAAATCTTGATAGAAGAAACTACGTCGGGTCTTGCAAGCTGATACGTTCATTTTCTCTAACTCCGACAGAGAATCTCTGTACAAGTACTTGGTCGACGTAGAATTTTTATAAAATACATAAATACCGCTGTAGCAGCTGAATTACCGGTAGCAGCTTCTATACCGTTTTACTCTGTATATTCGCCAACAGTCTAATATTACTATTCGCCGTTGGTTCGTAACCAAATGCGACCAAGAATTGACTTCTTCTTCGAAAGGAAAAATAGAATGTACCTTTTTCGAGAATCTAGGTATATATCTTTTGATTCTGTACGCCTCGAAAACGAAAAACAAAAACACATGCAAACAAAACACACGCACACACAGAGTGCTCCATGCAGGGGGATACGCGAAAGGGAAATGGAACGCACATTGAGCCGAGTGAGTGATAATCCCTGTTAAATTCTAGTTAAGTGAAGATTTATCGTAATGAATATATACATATATATATATATATATATATGAATACATATATGTATAGGTAAGCCGCGTTGCGTGACTCGACGTGAAAGGGTAAGTGGGGAGTGTTAGTGGAACGAGTGAATGAACCTAAGAGAGAGAAAGAGAGAGAGAGAGCAAGAAACGGAACCGACAAGACGCGCGAAATATAAAACGCAACGGATAAAGGGATATACAATACACAAAGAGTCGTGTGAAATAGCCAAATATGACAAAGATGTTCTTTTCTGTTTTGTTTATTTACTTCCTCTCTCTACGATTTCTTTTCTGTTTCTTTTTCTCTTGTTTTTCTTTTTTTATATATATATATATAGTAAGCACGACAGGTAGCTCTGTCGACGGTTACGTTTTTATTCTAAATCTGTCGCTAGGATAGATTACTAGGCTAGTTATACGAGAGCCCGCGACGGCGACACGGGCCCCGAGCCCCCTTCGAGCAAGGTGAGAAGCATTATTCTCGGCTTTTTTTTTTTTTTTTTTTTTTTTTTTTTGTTCGTTTTGCGTGTGCGAGCGCCAAGTACATGTAAATAAAAATTAGGGAGATCGTAAACGACGATACGAGTCGCATCGTCGGAGCACAAAAGAAAAGAAAAGAAAAAAAGAAGTAATCGCGAGGGGAAGCCGGCGCGCGCTGCGCTTCCCCGGTTAGGGGGGCGGCTGTTTAGGATCGCTGAAGCGAGAAAAGAAAAAAAAAAAAAAAGTTACACACAGAACATACTCATGATTCTGGTAAACGTTTAAATTAACGAGCGTAGATTTTAAAGGTGAGCCACGAACAGTTGGCGAACAGCTAGTGATACGATAACGAGAACTGTGTTTCGCCTGGTGGTCGTCCGAGCGATCCAGGCCACCGCGCGCGCTCTCAAAGAGGGGCGTTCGTTCGCGAACGAAGAAGCCAGAGCCAGGACGCGATCGTTCCTCGACGAACGGGACGGTTTTTACTTATAGGTAAAGGGCCCGCGAGGAGCCCGCATGCTCGAGCGACGATTGATATTAAAACGTTAGGGGGACACTGATATTAGAATCGTCCGTTACAGAGGAACGACGCGATCGTGGCTCGATGGGGTACCAGGCGATGCATCTATCCCTGTATATTGTACACTGTAATTACAATTTATACTTACTCGTAATCGATACCTTTATCGGTAGGCTATTACTACTAGCGGCTAGCGTAAGGTCAAGCTCAAATTCTAGGCGAGACCCGTCGTCTTCGCGTCTTTATTCTTCGTCACGAGTGCACAACTCCCCCTGAGAAACCCGTAATATCCCTCGAAACCAGGACTCCTCTTCTCGTACCGACTATATCGTTGTTCTTTGCGCCCTTATTCGTTCCCAAAAATTGCGTACACTGGCCTATCGATGGACGATCGACGAATTCACGACCGACGAACCGGCCCGACCGACTAATTTCTTGTTCCCCTGCGACACACCCTTCCTCCCCTCCCCATTTCCTTTTATCGTTCTTTTTCGCTTGACACTTCGTTTTTACAAACGGGGAGAAACGCCTCCAGAGGCTCGCGGGACTGGTAGACGTCGAAGCAACCGACGACACCGATTCTCGAATTGTATAAATTGCTCGTACGAATTGTATTTAACGATAGTTTATTCGCCTAAGACTGCAGGGGCGCAGGAGTCTATACGGCGGTGGTTCTTAACCTTTCAGCGACGAACGGATACCAGGATCTGTTTACATGTAAATACGGCTGAGTTATAGGAGCGTTGATCATGTTCTGTTTGCTCCGAGTAATGATAGATAATCACATACTAGTAATTAGTTTATAGAAATGGCTGAAGGAGAGCCACAGAAATCAATATAAATGTTTTCTACTTCATCTGTTGATCAATTCACGAATATAATTTCTCTTTTCAATGATAAAAGATTAAACGTGTTCCGTGATCATGTTGAATTTCTATCTTCGGTGAATTGTAATCGTTTTAAAAACGATAACGAATAAAAGTCCATCGGATCCGTCGCCGAGCGACGCGGGGTTTAAGGAGCGCTGCTCTACAGAGTTCTCGTGAAGTGAATTCAGCGCAGAAAAATGATCAAAAATTGTACCTCGTCCCCCTCGACTCTAACATCCTTCTACAATTCCAGTTTCGTTCATTGCGCTTGAAAAAGACCAGAGCTACGTGCCGCAAACACGGGAAATATTCCCGCGAGCACTTCGTTATTTCTATACGCTGGATTCGCTCCCTACACCCTGTATATTTACTAAAAAAAAACAGAGGATTAGAGTCCCTAACCGATGAATCGCTGTACATAGGAAAGCCTCGCGAAGTTAGAGGTAGCCACGAACGGTCAGGCTAGCGTAGCATTTCTGCGACCGCGTAGAGGATAGAAGCGTCGACGATAGTCCTCTCCGTACGCTTAGACAATTTATTCGCGCTCGAATAAATGAAATTTCACGTATGTAATTCCTATGGCGTTCCGTGGGACGCCTAATCGATGGTAGAATTGTACAAAAACAATTGCGAGAATTGTAGAATCGGCTCGTCGGTCGCCTCGACGCGTCTGCGAGACAGAGATGGGTAAAATTCTTGTCCAAGCGAACAGAAATTCGAATAACAAATAAAAGATGAATAACTAAAAATGGAAAAAAGAAACAGAAGAAATTGTATTCGTTGCTCGTTCGATAAACATTGGAATCGGGCCTGTAGCACGAAATTATTTTTCGAGAATGAATAAAAGGTTTATTCGTCGTCTATCGTTCGAATAAAAAAAAAAAAAAGAAAAGAAAAGAAAAACATCTCCTCCCCCATCTCTGCCGCGAGGCTCCTCGACGCGAGGAAACGAGAAGGCGAAACCTAATCCCCCGAGGCATTTCCTCGAAAGCAGCCTTTCGGTTTCCAAAACCGTAAACGGCTCGACTCCAAGCAGCTCTAGCGCGGGACTATTCGCAGTGTAAAATAATCGAAAAGAAAAAAAAATTAAAGTACGATGATACGCACCGTAACGTTATACATATATAAATATTATTGATATAATGATATAATTAATTATTATAAAGCAGTACCGTAAAAAGGGATTTTTAAATAAATAATAATAATGAAACAAAAAAAAAAAAAAATACAGTGGATTTAGACGACTACATTGACTAAACGTAACGACACATCTTTACGAGCAACATATCCTAGCGTACTAGGCGGGGAGTCGCGGGAGGGGGGGTCAACGACGACGAGGGAGCTCGAAGGGCTCGAGATTCTCGCGATGGTCGCTTTTCTGGTGCCACGAAATGATCGTTTCTCTCGCGCGGCCCACGCACACTTAACGCCTTCGTCGCCGAGAGGTATACGAAGGTCAGAGATGGAGCGAAATTCTCGTCCAACGGGAATTCACCTGACGAACGAAGGATGGACAACTTTGTATCTATTATTTGTTAGATAAAAAATTAATATTCGACGGAGTCTAGATCGCGCAGATGCGAACTCGCGATCGCGGTCATCGAGCTTCTTTTGATAGAAAAACGTAAGGTTGCGCCCCCATCTCTGATCGAGATCGAGGCTGGAAGGATCTCGAGGACGTCAATCGTCGCCTCCCCCTCCTCCGAACCCCCTTTATTCGAATTATCGCAAAAGAACGGAGAGAATGAGATCGGGATGCGAGTGACATAAGGGATGTTCCATGACATTAGGACGTTACACGATGAATAAATTAAGTATCGACGAGACGAGCGCGATCTCGATGTTTATACGTACACGTGTGGCCAATCGACAAGGGGTGGGTGGGATGGGAGGGTGGGGATTCGCTGAGAGACGGTGTCGAATCGCGAGGGATGAAGAAAACGTGGACGAGATGTAGTAGTAACGATTCAAATACAAAAATGGGGTATTCTACCAGGAAAAATGAAAAAAAATACACACACACACACACACACACACACACATTCAGACTAAAGATACATGAAGTAAACACGATAAATCATAGAACGTCGTAAACGAAAGCTAAAAATGCCACCTGTTTTTCGCTTCTATCGCTGTGTAAAAACGGATTCGCGACGAGAGACAAGCGCCACAGTCGCTTCGTGGTTTCTGGTCGCGAATCCTCCTCGAAGTCGAAGCAAAGCGCAGTGACTGGTCACGTCACGAGAATGCTGAGGACGTCATGCACGTACACACGTACACGTACACGTACACACTACACGTACACGTACACACTCACACACACATGCGACCGGGATAAAAATTGCAAATTGCATTAAACAGGGAGAGACGAAACGACAGGTACATACGAGAGAACAAAAAGGATACGATCAACTCGAACTTTAGTTGCAAAATACTGATAGGAGTACACACGAGGTGTCGTTCAGGAACACCTTTATCATTGTCTGATTTGATGATATTTTATAAGTCTGGACCAGTTGTTAGGTTCTTATTACTCCCATAGCGACTTCTTATGGCGTATTTTCTCTGTATATTGTCAATGTTTATTATTAAATATTTTTCAAATAAACTACAGCCGTTCGATTGATTATTTACACCGTCACCTGTGCCCATCGTCCATCCAACATCCTCAGGATAATTGTCCCTCTCGAGATTATCGTCTGCCCGACAGGTAAACCGCGTGAAACAGGTACGAAATAATTTATAACATGCTCTTTGTATGCTTCGATTAAAAAGAAAAACTTCGCTATAAAGAATAATCAATTTCGATCACGGGGCAATACATCACACGTGCACGTTTTATTTCTCCTCTCAAGATTAAGACGTGAAAATCTCATTCCACGATCTTTCACTGTCGAATATAATTCGATTCAAAGGTCGAGGGCTTAGAAAGGATCAGGAGCGATCCAGACCGTCATCCGAGGATTAGAGACCATCCAAAAGCCACGAGCGCCGCGAACCGTAGAAATCAGGGCCACGAAAGCCACGAATATCTTTCGCTAGCGCAGCTGTTGAAGCCGCTAACAGCGTCGTTGGTTCGTAACACGTGAACCAGTATAGAGGACGAAGAAGTCAGACGCTGGATGCACGCGTGCGATTAACAAAAACGGACGGTTCTGTGACAGCAAGTTTTAAGATTCTGGCAGATTGCTTAGCCAGGCGATTAGATATCATAAACATTTCGTCCAGATGTTGCTCGAGAGTAACCGTACTCCGTTCGTAAGTGAAGATGTTCGAGACTGTGAAGATGTGATCGCAGAGAAGCGGTTCCTCTCTAGATTAACGCTTTTTGCCTTGAATTTTATTCTACTTTTCGGGAAGGAAATTCGTATTTGATATCTACGTTATCGGAGTGGTTATATCGATATCAGAGATAGTATTTGTATTGTTTTTAATTTATTTAATTGCTCGTTCAAAGTCAATCATGGTCCTCCCGAGCGTTTATTGTTATTTGAAGAACGAAGAAAACTCTAAAATAATTTTTGTATCACTCTTGCAACTAAGATATCCACCTAGTCTGATTCTTCAGGCTCGTGATCTGTCGCGAGACAAGATGTGACTCGAAGCTAAGACTGTCTAAAGTGACCCATCCTCTTCGATGACAAAAGTCACCCTTAGACCAAGCATTGATTTCAATTGTAAAATGTTTATGGTATAGCTCTTGTAACTAAAATATCCACGGTTGATCTAATTCCTGTCAACGTTTGCCTACGAATCCCTCAAGCTCACGTGTCACGAGACAAGAAAAGAGTTCGAGCCAAGACTGCTCGAAGGAATCCGCTTTTCTAGGACGGGGCTTACGTTTCCGGTGAAAGAAGAGTCTGCTGCCAGCCGTGATCTTTTTTCTCAGCAGTGAGTCATCGCGCACATGGGATTACCATTCGACTGTTGAGCATTCGGCTCTGATCTGTCAGTAGTCCGCGGGCCGTCAACCGGAAAGGACGCGTACTCGACTCTCCGTTCGATCGGCGCGCACGTGCGTGACAAGGAATACTGATTCGAAAAACCGAACAAGTGGTTCCCGCCCTCTCGGAACGCGAGCACCCTAGAATCTCCTATCGACGCACATCTGCCAGATCTGGATTCTATTCTGAATTAAGAACGAGTGCATCGGATTTGTTCTCGGGAAAGAAGTCGAGGGATTCCTTCGTTTCTATTATTAACAATAACCCTGGAAATTTGCATTCTTCGTTCGATTTGACTGTTACAAAGAGAACCAAGAAGACCTCCATTCCCACTCGTTAAAGGTTTCTGAAAACAATTTTTAAAAATAAAGTAAAGATACTTTCGAACTTGAATTTAATAATTTTGGAATAAAGAGGTTTTCATCGAGTACTCTGCGATGCAAGTTACTCTGTAAGAACAATCTCTGAACGATATCAACGTTATTGCGACGTAATAGCGTCGTGCTATCTTGTTTGTCTTCTAAACGCAGAAAAGTAGAAAGAAACGTGACTGCTGAATGAATAGGAAACGCTAACGTCGTCGATTCATGAAGCAAGAGCCGCGTTTTCGGAAGGGGGAACTCGAGAGACAGGTCGACGAGTCCCCCGAACACGCAATCGTGGAAATATGTTAATATCGTCTATCGGGCGAACTCTTCCGTGGAACAGGTGTTATTTCTGATTTCGTTCGCGGCGCAGACGTAACGGTTCGCCCATCGGAATACTAATTGGGCCTGTACCCATGGCGAACGAGACCGCGACGGATAATCTTCTCGATCGTCGTCCTCGACGAATGATCGATGGGGACCGCGTTTGATCCAGACCAGGTGCGAGCAACGTGAAATCGAACCGTCGAGACGCCAGGGCGACGCGCGCCTCGGAAGTGATCCGTTCCACGAGGAAACGGAACGTAAATCGCGACGGGACTGTGACATAACAGAAAAACGAAGCAACTCGTCGCATAAATTATGGTAATGAGACGCGTCGAGGAATTCCGACCAGCGACACGTACGTAAGTCTAGTTTTAATACTCCAACTTCGGGAGATTCAGCGCCTCGTTCTTACGCTCGTGTTCGATGAAAAATTAGCTCGATGCTTGATCGAACGAGCCACGGTGTATTTAACTCATCGAGCTGTATCGATTTCTATAATTACATTCTATGGATCGTTGTTCATCGTTCGAACAAAAGTTTGAGAAGTCTACGCCTGGCTAGAGGTGATCTTCCGAGAGCCAGTCGTTACGTCACGATTCGAGCGACGATAAAAACAAATCCTGGCGTTCGCGAAAAATGTACTTCGCGGAAGCTACTGTAAACACACCACGGTGTTAAATTAAGTTGTTGCTGGTTAGCGGAATTCTGGAAATTCTAATTCCGAAAGTAAAATAAATTGAGACGGTGCGAGGGAAAAACGTTCCAAGAGAAATCTGAATCTGGTTAAATGAACGCGCGAACGGATCTCTTTTAAAAATAACAAGCGAGACATAGAAATAGAAAAGTTGAATAAGAAGACGTAAGTTTGGAGCAACCGCCGATCGTTGAAATAAGTAAATTGTTACCGACTCCCTTGAAGCGAGAATTTATCAATACACGATAGAAACGAAAAATTGCATCGAATCAATGTCCTCGAAATTGCGTAACTTCCACTGAACGAGGCGTATATACGTATAAGGAAGCTCGATTTCTATGCAGATCAGAGGGTGTTCCAAGCTTTGTCCGTGTAACAAGGTACACGAATATTAAAGACACGCGTAGGTTTCGGTATGGCGAGGTGACCGGTGTCTGGAAAGGAACACGAGGGCAATATTTTCAGGTGATCGGCAGAAAAATGCGCGCGAGTCGTGTCCGAGGGCTTAGACGAGAGTAAGTGCCCGGTTAAAATGGAGTACTGCAAAGGCAGCAAATATCTGCGCGTGTTGCCGAGGGCCACCAGGCGGATCGTGTGGACATGGCGAATGGAGAACGGGACGATCGTGCGAGTCGCTGAAAACGACTCCAACGACGATTGTCTGATCGAGATTGTCAACCTCTGCGTACCGGCGATCGCCATCCTCGTCGCTCTGATCGCCTGTCTTTGCCGCAAGTGCGCCAAACGACGCAAGTAAGTTCCCACGAGAAACGACAAAGCGTGTTTCAATTTCGCGATAGGACGGTAATAGCTCCAGCTTATCGAGGAACTTTCCTGTAAACTGCGCACCGTCGATGATGGTACTCGAGGGCAGAGAGATACTTTACTTATTCCTTTACTGAAATTAGACTTTGGTCGAGACCGGTAGAAGACGGTAACAATCGTGAATGGGAACTGGGTAGAGTCTGCGGTGGTACTTTACAGGAAAGATGTGTTTTATCGTTAGAAAGTGAAAGTAGTTCGAATGAATTCTTCTGTAAATAGTTGAATAAATGTATAAATCATAGAATTTGGATGCTTGCTTTAAGAATATCTCGTGCGTTGAATTTTCGAGATTATCGAGCCAGTCTCGACGAAGGTTCGTCAGAAGAAACGCCCAACCCTGTTAATTGGAGCAAATTGTTCAAAATAGAACGTTAACCCTAATGTGAATCATGGGGCATCCCAAAACGAACGCGAAGCGTTTCGTTTAATCGACCGTAATCCCAATTAAAACTTCGGGAATTCCTAAAGACTTTAAGTAAGTCGTGTAAAGTTCCCCAATATTAAAAGATTCGAAATTTTCTTTACGTTCAAACGTTCGTCCATCAATGCTCCGTTGAAATTTTCGTTTTCCCCTTTTTAGTTTAAAAATTATAAGCGATACAATTTTCAGGGACCCAACTTCACGTTGGCAAAATTGTATTGCTCATCATTTTTAAACCGACTTTAAGACTTTAAGTATGTCGTGTGAAGTTCCCCAATATTAAAAGATCGAAATTTTCTTTTTGCAAACGTTTGCCTAGCAATGCTCCGTTGGAATTTTCGTTTGCCCGTTTTTAGTTTAAAAATGATAAGCGATACAATTTTGCCAACGTGTCAAGTCGGCTCCCTCAAAATTGTATCGCTTATAATTTTTAAACTAAAACGGGCCAAACGAAAATTCCAACGGAGCATTGACGGGCAACCGTTTGCTAAAATTTTGAATTTTTTATTATTTGAGGGCCAGCTTCACACGGCTCTTTAAGTAGCATTTCGGTTTACGTTATTTCAATTCTCCGCACCTTTGTCGATCTAAAAACATCCACACCCGCCACTAAAAATTGTTCAACACCGGAAACAGACCAAGCAAACATTACTATTTTCTTAAGTGTCATTGCGAAGAAGAATTGCTCGCAGAGGCTTGGAACAAAAAAGGTGAAAAATCACTCGATAAGTCTTAATTTTAGACACCTGACGTCGTCTCTATAACGAAACGAATGTTAACTATATAAAGAACTGTGTATTCTTAGCTTCAATCTAACCGTGGAACTAGATTCGTAACTGAACAGTAAATTTTATGTAAATGCGACTATGAATACTCGCAACAACTATGAATAGTGAAAAATTAGAAGCGATAGGGTAAACAGAAGGGGTTGTAGAAGCAGGCTTAAATGAAAACATCATGGATCTCGATAAGCATAAATACCACGGCGTTGCAGGAGGCTCGAATTAATTAACAGCATAACTTACAACATGTGTTCG